CTCTCCTGTCTGCTCTCCTGCTTGACCTCCCTTCCCCGTGTTAATGTATAGAATCCCAATGCATTTTATTCTAAAATCAAATTGTTGTGTATATCCAAAAACAAACAGTAAACCCCCAAACTCATTGCCATTGAGTCGATTCCAACTTATGGCAATTACAGAGTAGACTGCTCCATAGGGTTTTGTTGATTGTAATCTTTATGGAAACATTACTAGGCCTTTCTTCCATGGAGCTGCTGGATGGGTTCAAACTGCCAACTTTTAGGTTAACAGCCAATTGTAAATCTCTTGAACCACCCAGTCTTTTTCTCATACTCCTATATGTATCTGGATTCCAGATATTTCTCTGCTCCAAGGTCTCATCCAAATCCAACATTCACATTCACACCTACTACATGGTGTCTTTTAATAGCCAAATTCTTCAAGTTGACTTTTAACATCATAATGCTTAAAGGTGGCTGGGACCCCTTTGACCCATACTTCTTGATCTCTGGGTCCCAGTCAGCGGGCAGATGGAAGATTTCATACCTTTTTTTCTCTAAGGGCTGATGGGATTGGGGTTCAGGTGGTGGTGGTAGTGGTGAGGGGCTGGAGGGAAATAGAGATATTGGCCTTTACAAAAGCTGGTGAAGATGCTCAGGCCCTGGAAAGAATTGGCTACATGCCAACCAGAATCCCCACATTCACTTGGACTTCTCTATCTCCAGCTGTCCTGTTTGCCAGAAGGTGGAATGTTCTCAGAGATGATGACATCCCTGATTTGAGAAACTCACTCTGGCATTCATTCTCATTGCTTCCTTCACACCACTCCTTCCCCTTCCAGCCTTACCTTTCCCAGTGATCTTAGTCCACATGCTGCATTTATTTCATGGTTTTATATAGGCTTTTGGATAGGAATTTGAATTATTTTTTCATGATTATGTAAGCATGTGTAAGCAAATATTCATGCTCTTACAGAAGGAAAGCAATGCTTCTGGACTTCCTAGGGAGACAATCTGATCATTTGGCTTGCTTTCAAACTGCAATTTAGGATGCAGGATGTGGGTGAGGTGTGATAAGAACTGGGAGGAGGCTCTGGCTGTGGTTCCACACCCCTGAGCAGACATCTCACCAGCTCCCTAGGTAATTCTTACCACAGCTTCCAGTGGAACTAGATATTTGTAGCTAGCTCAGCAAAGCTATAGAGGGAGATGAAGAATGGAGTGGGAGGCAGCCTGTGAAGACATGTTGACTTACTCCTCCTCTTCTGAGTAGCACGTCTCAGCATCTGCCTACCTCCCAGTTTGCCTTTCAGACCAAATATGCTACCATATACCAATGTATCATTTCTCATTATCCCAACCAGATACTTAATTACTCCAGCTTGAGCCTGTATAAAAAACCATACCTTGCTCCTACAGAATCTGAGACATCAAGTCAAATGCTCAAGCACTTGTCTCCTACTGTAGAGGTACATGGGATCTCCTTGAAAACCAGTAAGAGTTGTCGTGATGTGGTGTGTTACCTGCTGGCAAGTACATACCTAACAAGATGCTGTTAAGTCACCTGAGTCTGGAGATTCCAGATGGGTCAGAATAGAATTGTGCTCTATAGAGTTTTCAGTGGCTGACAATTTTGCAAGTAGATCACCAAGTCTGTCTTCTGAGGGGCCTTTGGGTAGGTTTGAACTGCCAGCCTGTCTAGTTAGCTGAGTGCTTAACTATTTGCACCCCTCCAGAGATTCCTGCTAGAGGGTTGTTGTTGTTGTTGTTGTTATGTGCCGTCGAGTTGGCCCCGACTCATAGCGACCCCTCCTTGGGTTTCCGAGGCAGTATCACTACGGAAGTAGGATTGCCCAACCTTCCTTCCGAGGAGTGGCTGGTGCGTTTGAACCGCCAGCCGTCTGGTTAGCAGGCAAGTGTCTTAGCCACTATGCTACCAGAGCTCCTTGCTAGAGGGTAGGCAACATTATTTCCCAGCCCATTGAAAAGCCATCTTTGTACTCAGGGACTTCTGATTGTGTCTCACACACTTGGTCAAATGGGGCAGGGTTCTGGCTCTCCCACATTCAAATCACCCTATCTTTCTTTCCAGTTAGATGCAGATCATTTTTGTCTTCCAGAGCCTAATACCAAGAAAGGGAGAGTTGGGAGAGGATTTGGCCCTAAGCCAGTAATAGAATATTCCTTTGAAAGTCAGTTCTAGTCTTTGGCTCAGATCTAGGAATTGGAACTCAGACCTTTTTATTTTCTTTTTAACATCTTAATATAGGGGGTTAAAAAATTATAAAAGTAATGCATGTGGGCATGGGAGGTGTGGGACCATGGTCCAGGGGATGTCATCAAGCACAATTGGCATAACATACTACACAGAAACATCGTTCTATATCCTACTGTGGTAAGTAGCAACTAAAGTCTTAAAAGCTTGCAAGTGGCCATCTAGATGCAATGATGGGTCTCTCCTCATCCAGAACAAAGAAAAATGAAGAAAACCGAAGACACATGGAAACAATTAGTCGAAGGGACTGGTAGACCATGTGATTCTCAGCTTATATGACCATGAGACCAGGAGTAGATGGTGCCTGGCTATCACTGCCAACAACTCGGGGGGGATCAGTGCAGGAGATCCTGGATAGAGTGGGAGAACAATGTGGAACAAAATTCAATATCATAAAAGAAAAAAGAAAAAAAAAAAAAAAAAACCAGATTTCCTGGTCTGATACAGCCTGGTGAGACCCCTGAGACTGTGGCCCCTAGCTACCTTTCAGGTATGGAATTGAACTCATTCCTGTGGCTCATATGTCCCCCTCCTTGACCCTCTGTCTTTTCCATCAGATCTCATGGCTCCTCTCTCACTGCTTCTTTCATATTCTACCTTTATTTGTCATGTTGCCTTATTTTTGCTTGCACATGTTTATCTCTCCCACCTAACTAGGAACTCCTTGCCTTTCTTGCTTCTGCATTTCCAGCTCCTAGCACATAGCATTTGTTAATAAATATTTGCCAGATAAATGGATAGAAAAATCTTCTGTCCAGCAGTTACTACCAACCCTTACTCCCTATACTGCTGTAGCTTATCATGTATTTCAGATGAAGCTTATGCACCGAATATCCTTTATGTTGAAAAACAGAAATAAAAGAGAGGCAGTCCTGTTGAGTTCTGGCTGTCATTGGTTTCACTGTATTTGTTTTATCATGATTTTGTTTAAGTATTTTGTCTTCTGTATTTTTTGTAAGGTAGATATTGGGTCTAGTACCGTTCTGTCTGGGAGCTCTGGTGGCATAGTGCCTGAGGCATTTGACTGCTAACTAGAAGGCTGGGGGTTCAAAACACCAAGCACTTCTCAGAAGGAAGGTTGGGCAATCTACTTCTGTAGTGATACAGGAAACCCAAGGAAGGGTCACTGTGAGTTGGATTGGACTCCATGGCAGTGCATTGTGTTGTTGCATTACAGTTCCGTCTAATCCAAATGTAATGCAACTCAAAAGTTTAAAGTATTTTAGTAGGTATATTGGCAAATTAAAAATGTATATGTGAAATTTTCAGTGAGAAATTGTATTTAATCCAATATATCAAGTTATTGTCATTTAAAAAATTGTAAATTAAATTTGACAACTAATCAACATAAACTTATTTATGGGACAAAAAAAAAAAAAAAAAAAAAAAGGAGAGGAGTGGGGAAGCATGTCTTTGATGGCTGTTGTAGTTAAGGTTATGTGTCAACTTCTCTGGGCCTGGTGGAGTGGCTGGGCAGCTGGATGTAGTTATTCCCCATGTTGAGACAGGTAATCATCTCCATGGTGGAATCTACTGTGAGCAGCTGAGTAGCTGCCTTAGGGATGTGGTCTGCTCCCAGTATATAAGGAGAAGCTTTAAGAATGGTCTGAAACTTTTGGCACACTTGAATCCTGCATGTAGCCGAGTCGTTGTTCAGCAGCCTGCCATGTTGTCTGCTGATCTTGGGACTCTTAATGGACTTGAATCAATGGCCTATGTGTGGTTTGGTAATATTGGGACTGTGCCTTTTTACTTGTCAGCCTTGGGCTTGTCAGCCTCAGCAGCCAGCAGCTGCCTGAGTGAAGAAAGCCTCTAGCTTCAGTGGGCCAGGAGCAAGAGGCAGAACTGAAGCCTAAGGTCAAGGGGCTTTCACCCAACTCCTAGAGCCTGGCACATGAACTTGGACTTCTAGCCTTCAAAACTGTCAGAGAATAAACTCCTATTTGTTAAAGTCATCCATTTGTGGTATCTTCTATTAGAGTGGCACTAGGTAACCAAAACAGTGGCCAAAGATGTTTCTAGATACTTGATAGCACCCAGCAATGAGGAGTGGACTTTTAGCTCCTGAAGCAGAACTCTTAGGGCCCCATTTGTGCTTATCCTTCCATATCAAATCTAAGAAAAGTCAATTATCAGGCACAGAAAAAATAATTTTGGTGAAATTTATTTCATAACACTGAAGCAGTACAATCTACTTTGTCATTCATAAATATTCCCATTTAAATAATCTGAGTTTATAATCTCAGTCTTAGTGAAAAGACTTTATATAAAGATAACACACTAGTTCAAATTAAATTGGTTCCATAGATATTGAAGATGGGTCATTCACGGAGACTGCTTCTTCCTGCCCCTCCTTGAAGTAAATTAAGTACATTAACCTACCATTAAATAAATAAATAAATAGTCAAGTGGCCGCTTACTGGAAGCTGGGAGTAAAAGACAGATGGTTTCTTTGAACCAAATGTGCAGTGGTTTCTGTCAGGCTGACTCTGAGGAATGGAAAGGGTAGGTGAGGCCTACTCAGCAAAAAAGGGTCTAGGGATTGGCCTTGGGAGGGAAGAGCTGTTTGTCATCACAGACCTGGCCCTGGGGTACTAGGACAGCCTCAGACAGCTCCTGGCTGGTGGGCAGAAGACCCTTTTAGAACCTTCCTTATAAGGAAGGCAACTGGCATCAGTCTAGTCAATAGTCTAGACTGCAGCCATGTCCAAACCCTTTCTATTCCCTTTCTGCCAGCCTTAGGGGTTACTTAGCATATGTGGACTTTCTGAGTACTGCTCTCTTTAGGACAAGACTTTTTCCATGGTGAAGTCAGTTATATCCTGGCCACCTCTGGTATTTCCCAGAAAGACAGCCATGTCTTCCATTCGAGAGGTGCTGATGTACCAGTTGGGGAATTCGGCTGACTCAAATTCCAACTTGTCCTTGACCTGTAGCTTGTTGAAGACAAATCTCTTTTCCATCTTCTTTCTTGGGTAAAGTTTGGGATCTACTGTCTGCAGCAAAATAGAAATAAGAACTTTTGTGAGGGGACAGAGACACAGAGACACTCTGGCAAAGATGTTCTTTGGATTGACTAAAGAGGAACTGATAAGCAGACAGCAGGAGCAGGAGCAGGAACCTGACTCCCGAGTTATCTTTGTGACTCTGACTTTCTTTGTGGTTATTGAGGAAGTAGAGTTCCTGGGTGGTGCAATAGATTAGGCACCCAACTACTATCTGAAAGGCTGTGGTTTGAACCCACCAAGAGACTCCTCGGAAGACAAGTCTGAGGATCTGCTTCTGAAAGGTCACAGCCTTGAAAACCGTATGGAGCAGTTCTACTCTGCACACATGGGGTCACTATGAGTCAGAATCGACTCAATGACAACTAATAACAACATTGTGAGAAATGTTACTCTTTTCTGAAGCTTAGTCCCCCGTGCTTAGTCCCCAGTGCCGGGGAGCATAAAGTGGGTGGGAATTTTAAAACAAAACAAAACAAAACTGAAAAGTAGGTTAAATTGTCTAGGATTACCTGGTTTCCAGGGACTTTTGCAATATATTTCTTTATAGCCCTAGAATGATATCAACTTGGAAACAAAGCTTTTGTTTGGAAAGTTGTACGAAGAGAGTGATTGGAGAGTGGAATGGAGAAGATGACAGGTGTCCTCGCTCCCTTTAATTGATTAATTTCCCAAAGTATCATTTAGCAAATGAGAGCAACCCTAACAATGTATAACCCATTTGACCCTGTTGTTGTTGTTGTTGTTATGTGTCGGATCTGACTCATAGTGACCCCTCCTTGGGTTTCTGAGGCAGTATCACTACGAAAGTAGATTGCCCCATCTTCCTTCCGAGGAGTGGCTGGTGGGTTTTAACTGCCAGCCTTCTGGTTAGCAGTCAAGTGCCTTAGGCACTATGCTACCAGAGCTCCTGTCATTTGACCCTAGCATTGTATAATGTATTGGGGTAGTAAAATGGCAGGGCATAACAACATAAGCAAAATGATGTAATTATCTGTAGTGGGAGTGAAGGTTGTGTGCACTTAACAATTATGTCAAATTTATGTACAATTGCATAAATTATCAAATGGAGCAGTTCCCAGATTTTCTGGGGAGGAGAAGGAGGTTGTCTTTGAAGTAAATGATGGCTAGAGGTGCTTTGGAAGAGGCCTGAGAAGACCTTTTAGCCCATGGTACTCACCTCCAGCTGCAGAGTGGGCTTCCCATTATTCCACACACAGGACAGGTACAAATTCTTTCCCCTGAGCCCCAAGGCCACAGGCATCTTTTCTTCACTTATTTCTCCTTGCACAAAGATCATGGAGAACACCACTGGAGGAAGAAGAGAGGCCTTTTGTTCTGGTACATATAGCAGTGCAGGCTGGACCCAATCACTGAACCCCTATTCCAGGACCAGTACAAGTTAACATACTCTGTGGGAAGCTGTACAGAGGTTCCTTTAGCCTAATAGACAAGACCACTTGACTTCTCACAATTAGCAGAGTTAGTTGGTTGGTTCAGCATTTCTTCCAAGAAGGTCTGAGAGTTTCTCAGAGCTTCATAGAAATGGCAATGAAGAATTGAAGAAGGGCTAATTTTTAAATGCTGAAGGAAGAAGGAAGCCATCTTGTCATTGGCCAGTGATGTGCACATCGGCATGAGCAGAAAAAGTGAATTAATTGAAGGCAAGGAAAGAGATTAAGTTGGGCTCTTGAAAACAATCAGGCAGCAAATCTATTTCCAGACTATAGAAACAAAGGGGAAGAGCATTTGGGAAGAACATGAAAGAGAAGAAGCTTAGCTGGATAAAACAGCTCCAAAGAGCGACATTTGTTTTGCTCCTCCTTAGTCACAGCTGTCTCAATTGGAAGTCCCGAGGTCACACTCACTACTCAGATCTAAAGAAACAGGATTGTTCTTGTTCTGTCTGTCTGTGGGCAGGACCCCCCCCCCCACCACTCCAGTGATACTGCTCTCTAAGGACAGCAGTGTTGGAAGAGAACAGGCTGCTCCTTCTAGCTTCTCCCTGACCCACACCCTTGCACTCAGGCTTGGTCTTAAAAGGAGTAGGGTGGGAGGCACTTGAAGGAAGCAAGTGGCACAGTGCCAGGCAGATTCCTACATCAGTGGCTCAGCAGACTTGAAACACTTCCAAGTTACTGTAGAGAGATACAAGTTCTTGCTTGTCACTAAATTTTCTCTACAAGGAGCCATCTGGTACGGCGGGAAGGATGTTAGAGGCAAGGAGGCAGGTTAGGATAGGGATGGACATTTTATCTCTTCACCATTATAGTTTCAACCCCAACAACAGGAAAAAAGAAACCACTGGCAGTTAGGGCATGTCCATCAAATAGTCCCATTCAATGGAAGCATTGATATTGTACCATCTCTAAGTGACTTGGCTAGACAGTGGTCCTGGGTGTGCTTGAGCAGTCTAATTTCTCAGTCATACATCTCATTTAAAATAAATGTGCTGAGGGAATCAATCTGGCTTCATTGCTAGGACAGAAACAAAATTTTTAAATTCTTTTCTGTCAATTTTTACTTCTATTGTGAGTTTGCCTAAATATCCCACTTTGTTGAAAATTTAGAGAATTAGCAAGCTGTCAGGAGGCCAGGAAGAAAAAGCAAGCTGTCCCAAGTTACCTTGATGATCTGTATTCTGTCCATTGAGATGAAGAGCCTTCAGTTCACATGGACCAGACAGCACCAGGCACTTCTGTTCTATGTCCCGAAGTCGGCAGTACTGGGATAGTACAGCTGCATCACACTCATAACCATCATCATAGTCGATGGGTTCTGAAATGTGGAATACATGTCTCGTTAGCAAAAAATCAGAAAGGCTAGTCTCATGACATGAGGCTGCAGAATTTGGCTTCTTGGATGACATCTAAGCAGGTACAGTCAAAGTTCAATTATACTGTTAGTGGAGAAGGAGTTTGGGGGAAGGAATAAAGAGGGAAGATCATTGGATCTGGCACCATAGTGCGTGGATTCAAATTTTAGCTCCATTGCTAGCTGCAATAGTGCTCATTATGTTAAATGGCAGTGATAATAAAATGGCATGGTGATTTTGAGACTTGCAGCACTTGCGGAAAGATGTAGTGATGTGAAAATGTGAGTAGTTATCAAGGTTTTACTTTAAGAATGATTTCAATTAAAAACCCCCAAAGCAGTTCCTGTCAAGTCAGTTCTAAGTCCTGGAGCCTTTGGGTGAACTTGAACCACCAATTTTCATTAGAAGCAAGTGCGTTAATCATTTGCACCAACCAGAGACTCCAATTTCAAGTAAAGAGAATTAATTTGGTTTCTAGTCTTCTCTGTTCCCCTCTTATATGGGCCTTCTACCTTTTAAGGGCTTCAGCTTCCAGGGAGTTTAGTTGACTATTGAGTAATTGGTTGCAACAAGGAAATAATGGGGAGACTGATTGCCTCCACTCAATTCTCATTAAATACCTTCTTCAAAGACGAAGGAAAAGAGGCTGGTCAGGAAGGACTGTGAGCGGGGACTGTGATCAAGACTGTGTGCCTTCAGCTTCTCCATTGCCACAATGACAGACACAACCCGCTTGAAACCCTTGTTGTAGTGTTGCTGGGAGATCTGAAGCTGGATGTCCCCATCTCCTGGAGAACAGAGGTCCAGGTCTTGGAAGCAGTGCTGGGGAGAGACCAAGGGAGTGAGTGCTTTAAGATGGTTAGGCCAGGGAATTCCTGTTTTGAAATCAGAGAAGTGGAAGGAGCCTTAGAGATAATCAACCATCCAATGAGAGATAATTTCTCATCTCTCCAAAGCCCAGAGAGAGTAAATGGCTTACCCAAGGGTAAGTTGGAGTCAGACTCAAAGCCTGTAGGCTTTCTGATGCCTTGTATGATATTCTTTTAGGATAACTCCTATTTCTATACTATCTTTGCATACATGCCTTGCCTGCCTATACCATATTTTATACTTTCTTATAATTTTGTATAATCTTGTATCTCTAATGCTCTAACATGGATGCCAGGCTCTCAGAGATCATCTAGTTCATGCTCCTTATTTTCCACATGTGGCCCAAAGGGGTGAAATAATTTGTCCAAGATCAAACAGCAAGTTAGTGTTTTTTGTTTTCAACTCTCAATTCTTCTTCTTGTTTATGTCATCTATATCTTGTTGCATAAGCTCCACTCCAGGTAATAAAAACTATCCTGCCCTTAGTGTAGACATATAATAATTTTCAAGATCATCTTTGAGTTACAGAGTTTGACTCAAATGATTAATGTAGGCTGAACCCATCTCTTAAAAGGAGAATCAAATTTGCTTTAAAGTCTCATGGCTGTTGCTGTCTTCCTACTATGAAGCAGTAAACATTGTCTCCACTGTTAACTGTTCTTCCATCTCTCACCAATCATGATCACTGTCAGTAGGTGACTCTGGTGATGTGAGGAGCTGGGTAGGCCAAGTCAACATGAACATCAGTCTACACTTGTCTCATTAATACCACAGGAGCAAGATTGCCCAGGCCCTTTTCTTTGAGCTTTTGCTATGACAGAGCCCTTCCATAAGTTAGGAGCTAAGTCCATAGTCTTACCTTCATCTGTTTGGGGCCGTCAGTGTCAAAGAACAGTTCATCTTCATTGTTACTGTAATAAAACAGAGACATTGCTCAATTATGTCTCCTAAACTGGTTTATGTTTCCTTCCTTGAAAAATTTTTTACTGTTAATGGGAAATGGCAAATAGCATGAAACTCAAAGCTTCCTGAATGATTCTTGCAAATTCTATGGTGATTTTCATGGAACAGTTGACTCTTCCATGCATAGCATTATCACTAGGGAACAAAGCAAGAACCCCTGGGCCAGCACAGGTAACCCTAGGTGCTTCCTGTTGGATATAACCTCCAGCCTAGTGGAGTCAGTTAAAATCTGAGTCTGCCCTCTCACCCAAGCCAAACTTTGCAAAAAGGTCCTCTGTTTTGTTCCCTTGAAGGCTTTCCTTCCTGTTGCCTGTCTGTAGGAAGTACCTATGGCACAACATCTGGGTGACCTATGAGTCCCAATGCTGGACTTCCATGGGAAATCAGTCTTCAAACCAGGTTAACTTGGAATACTACCTGCCGTTGAAAGAGACACTTTGGGAGACACATCTAGTCTCCAAGCACAGCTAACATTATCCTTCTGAAAGGGAGTATTCCTGCTGTTGGTATTGGTCTCGGTCTTCCCACTAACCTGTAGTAATTCATTACATCACTGGTGAATTCAGGGGCTGCTGCCATGGCTACTTCAGAAACCTGTGTCAAAAGAGGAGAAAGATTGATCATTTCCAGTTATTCATCCCAATGAGGGTTGCCTTCATATTTGAGTTTCTCTCAGCACCTAGTTTGTGGCAGGGATACAAAGAAGTAGTCTTTGAATGAATGAATGCATGGAAAAGCCATTCTTTGGGTCTATAGGAAAGCATTTGTTAGCCTAAAGTCAAGTCAGGAGTATATTTGTTAGAAGCCACCCAAGACTTGGAGCAGAGGCCTTGACATTTATCTGTCAGGTGTCAGCTGCTAGATAAGCAGTATTCACTCCCAGAATATTTCACAAGTCATAGCATTACAGCATACCTGGCAAAAAAAACAAAAAACAAAAAACAAAAAACCTCAGCCTTCAAGCAGACAGGAAGAGAGAGAGAGAGAGAGAGAGAGAGAGAGAGAGAGAGAGAGAGACCAACTGCTCCCCTTAGGACTTAGTTATCAGTGAGTTAGTTAAAATCATCATACCCGAGCAATGAAGACTGGCTGGAGAGAATCTCAGAGTGGCCTATTGTACCTCTAAGAGATTTGTTGTCTGCCAATTTCTCCCTTGTCGTTTTATTGCCTCTAAAAGCAGAAGTGGAGAGATGAGAAATTCCCTTTTGGTCAACTGATTTCACAACCAAGTACAATAGAAGATTGGTGGAAACTTCTAGGGGAAGGGGCTGGTAAGCTGAAACAATTCTTCAATACTTGGAAGGGCAAGTGCGAGCAAACTATGACACATTTTTGCAAATGTGTCATCATGCAAATATAGTTTTTCTGACAAGCATTGTGCAGATGATGTCAATATTAAAATATTGGATTTTCCTAGGTTAGATGAATGTTATAATCTGGGGTCTTTGGGACAAAATGGAGGAGACACAGATACACATGCTCACATGTGCACACAACCTCTCTTATCTCTATCCCTCTCCAATTGGGAAGATTCTTAAACTTAAGTATAGGAATCTTCCCAATTGGAGAGGGATAAATGGGTCTAATGAAATGACTGTGACTCTCCCAGTCTGGATTCAGGGTGCTGATCACTACTTCTGCAGCTCCTGGTCAACTACAGGATCCTCTGGGGAGACATATAACCTCTCTTGGATGGGTTTGGGAACATAAGTTCTGCAGGGATGCAGGCTCCTGGTGGAATTCTTTGTTTTGCCTCCACAGGATACAGTCTGCAAGTTAGGCACTGGTTCCCACACCTCATCAGGGGAACTGCCACCTTCCTCAGAGTCTTCATGCTGTGGCTACTGGGACCTAGTGACCTGGTGGCCCTGTAGTATCTCCTGACAGGGAACACAGAGATGACCTCAGATTAGGAGCTGAGGGAAGGAGGATGAAGGACAGTGACTGGGAGGGAGGTATGCAAGGCACCCAAACATCAACACCTAGCTAATCCCTTCTGTTCCTCGGACTTGGGATAGATCAGGATTTTGAGCTACCTCCACTTCCCCATTTTCTAATAATAGCATTCCAGGGCCTCAGAATCTTCTAGCTGAAAGGAGCTCTAATAGTAAATGAAGAAACCAAGGGCAGGATAGATGAAGTGATTTGTTCAGTGTCATAGTGTGATTGATGTAGTGCTAGTATGTAGGTTGTATGAGTCCCAACTCTTTCTCCTCAAGGGAAATTTTTGAGCCCTTGACACAATGCCCCCTTGACGTAAGAGTCTCTACAGTTCTGTCATGTCTCAGTCTGGCCTTGTAGCCTGGACCAAAAACCTGGCCTGATCTATTTCAGGAAGTGAAAACACTGTGTCAAACAGGCGGTTGCACAATTTACTCATCAAACCGTATCTGCCCAAGGAGACTGCTTAGGCCACATAACTTCCTTCCGACACCCAGCAAGTGGAAAAATATCTCACTATAAAAAAAGTAGAACTGAGGGAGAATAGAGAGTAGTGATGATGTTGGAGATGGTGATGCGGACACAAGGAAGTAGAACAAGCAGAAATGGGGAGCTGGCAATGCCAGGATGTCATGGGGAATACCAGCTTTTGGGTACTCCTTCAGCTCTTGGCACTCAATACCTTCTCTGCTGTAAGATCTCCTATACCCTCATAGGTCATTCCTCCATGACAGGAAAGTACTATTTTTTTCAGAGCTGCAAGTACCTTGGTACCATATTGTGTCTGATCTTGGGTTTCCTGCCTCTCTTATCAAGGTTGGCCTTCTCCTGATGGTCTTCAAACATTTGAACAAAAAGACAAGCAGAATAATCATGGATTTGTTCTAACGTTATCATGTGTAAATGTAGTAATGTCTGTCCTCTGCACTGAGCCTGTTTCTTCCTTATTCATCCTCTTGCTCAGAACAGAACTAGACAATGACTGTCCTCACCATTTTTTCCAAACCCTTTCTCATTCTGCACTTCCTAACATTGTTTTTAATAGTCTGTTATTGCCAGCAGTGACTGGAGTCTTAAAAGCTTATGAGTGGCCATCTAAAATGCAGCTATTGGTCTCTCCTTATCTGGAGCAAAGAAGAGTGAAGAAAATCAAAGCTGCATGGAAACAATTAGTCCAAAGGACTAATGGGCCATGTAAATCCCAGCCTCCATGACCCTGAGACCAGAAGAAGTAGATGGGGCCCAGCTACCACTGTGGACCACTCTGAAAGAGATCACAATAGGAGGTCCCAGATAGAATATGAGAAAAATGTGGGACAAAACTTAAAATCATAAAAAAAGACCAGGCTTATTGATCTGATAGAGACTGGTGGAACTCTTGAGGCCTAGATACCCTTAAAGCTGGGAACTAAACTCACCCCCATATCTCAACTTCCAGCCAAATAACAGGTCTATAAGGTAATAAGTAATACCAAAGAGGTACATACTCTTTAGAACAACCAAGCGTGCAAGATCAAAAGAATAGCATTTTCCCAGGAATGAAGGTAAGAAAGTAGGAAGGGATAGGAAAGAAGGATGAAGGGAAATGGTACACACAGGGAGGAAGTGGGAAGAGTGCTGCTACATTGTGGGGATTGCAGTGAGTGTCACAAAACAAAATGTTTATGAGTTGTTGAATGGAAAACCAATTTGCTCTGTAAATTGTCACCCAAATCACCATTAAATAAATAAATAAGAATCTATCACTGTCTTCCATCATTTCCATAGTTCTTTCTGGTACCTGTATCTGAAAATAGAGTGTCTTGTATATGCACACCTATCTCTTTGTGGATACTTCTCTCCTTTTCTTTCTGCCTCTGGGATTATTTGGGATTCCAAAAAATCAAACCCACTGCCATCAAGTCAAATTCCGACTCATAGCAACCCTGTTGGACAGAGTAGAACTTTCCTTTAGGGTTTCCAAGGCTGTAAATCTTTATGGAAGCTGACTGCCTCATCCTTCTCTTATGGAATGGCTGGTGGGTTCAAACTGCTGATGTTTTGGTTAGCAGCCAAATGCCTTAACCACTGCGTCACCAGAGCTCCTATTTGAGATTGGAGAGTCCAATTTTCAATTTTGAGACTTCAATCTTTCTTCCTATGATCTTATCTCCATTGGGTCTGTTCTCCCTCTGGGACCCAGATGCTGAGGGCAGGGAGATGCAGACACCATGGGACACTCTCTTCTTATCCCTGGTCCAGAACAAGGAGGGATTAGATAAACAACCATGTGGGGTGGGTCTGATGAGGCTAACTGGTCTACGTATATGACCTTCAGTGGCTGCTTTCTGCCATTTGAGTCACTATTCCATCTTTGAGAACCCAGTGAAATCTTTTAACTTCCTTTGGATACAGAAGAAAGAGCCCCTGCGTGGGTAGGGTAGATACCAGGACTTTCCTACTTTGTAGCTTTTCTCACCCATAATAGGTATGAGAGAGCAAGCCAATTATACCAAGGGTCTGGAAACTTTTTCCCTAAATGGCCAGACCATCTATGTTGCAAATACTCAGCTCTGTTGCAGGAAAGCAGCCATGGCCAATACCCAAATGAGTGGATATGGCTGGATTTGGCTGATAGGTTGTAATTTGCAGGCCCCTGGACTTATATACTATTATGCTATACCATTTTTATGAGATAAAAATTTAGAAACAATACTAAAAAAAAGAAAAAAAGAAAAAGCTGCTATTTACTGAGCACCTGTAAAGTGCCAGGCACTTTTTTCTTGTTAACTTACTTAGTTTTGACAAAAAAACATCAAGGTAGATAGTATTGGCCCATTTCACCTATGAGGAAATGAAGGCTGAGAGAAGTAGCTTATCTAAGTTCATGTAACTAGTAAATGCTGGAACCAGGATTCAGACATGGGTTAGTTGGATGCATACCAGATCTTTTTTCCTCCTTTTGTTATAAGTACTTTGGTGCCACTTTCATCTTGTTCACAGAGTGTCTACCTGAGGCTCCTTTTCTCAAGGGTCCAGTTATCTTCTAAACTACTTTGGTTGGCAGATTCATGTATCTTGACTACTCTGCTTTCTAAGTGTCTGCATATTGTCCTTTTAGGATTTGGGTAAACTGTCTACCCTTGTCTCTTGTCTTCTCTCCGTTCCCGTCCTTTCACACCTGCTGTGTGAATTTTCTTCTTTCTACTTTTCTTAGAGTGGTACTGGAATTTTCCAAGCCAGAGCTTTCAGTGCTTTCTCTTCCCCTTTTCTAAGTTTCTTCCTTATTCCTCTTCACTTTCTCACCTGCAACTGGCAGCTACATTGCTTAATTTCCTTTGCATTTTCCTTAAGGCATTGTTACAGCACTCAAAAATAATCCCTCTTAGGCTTCTATCCTTAGATTTACATGCTTTTTTTTATGATATGGAAAAAAATCCTCTCTTAAAATCTAAGAAGAATGCCTTTTGTGCCTATATTGTCCTCCCTGGTTATTAAGCAATTGAAGGCGATTTGGCTGTTTTATTTCAGGGCTTTGTTATTTTCGTTTCCTCAATCACTTCCTCCTTGCTGGCTGGAATTGAATTTTCTGTTTTCTGGGAGAGAAAGTTCTTAGCAAGGCCAGTAACGATTTGTTGGGTGCATTGGTACAGGTCTGTGATCCAG